CCCCGCTGCTGCTCCCCACCATGCCTCCGCCCACCGCCGCTCCCAACAAACCTCCCTGCACTGCTGCTCCTCCCAGTATGCACTCCCCCCACGGTGACTCCCCGCCCAGCCGCCCCCAGAGCCTCTCTGCCCGGGCTGCCCCACCCTCACTGCTGCACCTGTATCGGTGCCGCTTTTTAAATTCCCTTTATCGCCAAAAGCGACATAGGAGGAATGACGGAAACCCCAGACACGTCCTGCCTGTCCCCAGCTCCTGCTAGCGTGTCCCCATCCGTGCCGGCCTCTGGCTGGGCCCCGTGGTGACGCAGGGCAGAAGACCCTGGCCTCACTGTTGCTTCCCCCTTCCCCCTGCGGCCCCCCTTCCCTCCTGTGTGTCCTGTAAGGGCCTGGTCATCGTGCCCCCCGGGGCCTGGAGAAGCCCAGAGTGCACCACATCTCACAAACCAGCAGTCCCCCCACCTGCCCTCAGCTGCCCACCCACCCAGCCTCTGCCCTGTGCTCTGCACCCCCAGGGCCTGACCCACCCTCGCTACGCCATCCTGGGGCCCAGGTGAGTCTAGGCCCGCCCCCTTAGAGCACTTCACGAGGTACTGATCGACCTGGGAAGTTCAGGCGCGCACCACGTCCCGCAGCAGGGCCGGGGCGGGGTAGGGGCTGGTCAAGACGGGGGGGACTGAATACGGGGACCATGCCCCAGAAGGCCACCCGGGCCGGGTCTGTTAGTGGTCACCTCGCCTCGGCCACCACCAGCACCCTCGGATTGGGGCCCAGTGTCTCTGAGCTGCATTCCTGGGGGTGAGGGCCACGGCTGGTCTCGCCCTCAGAAGGCGGGGCTGGGCCTCGGGGGCTGGCGGTGTGGGGTGTGGGGTGCGGACCCACCCCACCACGAGCTGGGACCAGACAGAGACCAGCAGCACTGGCTGCAGATTTGCAACTTGTTTAATGACAAGGACGCTGCATGACAGGAGACAAGCTCGTGCCCTCCCAGGCCCTCCCCGCCCCCCAGGGCTGTCCAGACGGAAGGTGGAGATACAAGCTTCCACGCCCCCTTCTGGGTGGGCCCGGGCTCCACGCTGGTGCTCACCCGGCGTGCGCACCCACCCCGTGCACCCAGACAACCAAGGGGCTCTTTGGCAACTGCACAGGGGGGTGAGGCGGGGTGGGGCAGAGGTGGCTTTGTTATAAAAAAAGAAAAATCCAACCAACAGAAAGGATCTTGACCGATCAAAGCACACAGGTCTATATACACAAGTCCCCCTGGAGGCCGGGCCCCCGCTCCCACAGGAACGTCTGGGCTGGGGGAGGCGGAAGCGGGGGGCTTGGCAGGCCTTAACCATTCCGGGGCTGCTCCAGGGAAACAGACAACAAACCCAAAGGGAAGTCACAGGTACATACACACATGCTCCGCGGGACAGAGCTGGGTGCCTCGTGGGGTCTGTGTACGCTCTGCCCGCAGACCCGTGCCCGTCCACCTCCTCATCAGGCGCCCCGTCCCCAAGGGTCCGACCACGCAGCTGCCCGCCTCTCTCCCTGTGGGGCTCCTCCTGGTGCTCACGTGAGCGGCATGGGGCCGAGGATGTGACCGCTGAGGAGAGGACGCGGTGGGGATGGGGCAGGGGAGCCCGTCTCGGGACGCCCAGGAAGCTCCCCGAGTCCTGCAGGTGCTGGTGGCAGTGAGGCCCGGCTGTCCCCCTCTTCACCTCGCCGTGCTGGGTCGGCACAGGGGGACAGGATGACACCGGGAGGCGCAGTGGGGGTGAGCACCCGCAGGGCCCAGGGCGTGGGAGCCGTGGCTGGGGCCCGCTGTCACTGGAGCGCGTCTCACTGGGCCCTCGCTCGCTGTCAGAAGCGTGACTACGCAACACTGTCCTCTGACAAGTACATCCTGGGTGGTCTCTGTGGGCCCTGCTGCCGTGTCCAGCCGGCCTGGTCTCGCGGAGCCGACTGGGGCCTGCTCCGGACGCAGCGGCCGATGGTGATGAACCTGCCCGGGCCACAGCCGTAACAAAACGTTCCCCTCAGTCACCGCCGAGGACGGCCTGAGGTCAGTGTGGGGACGCTGAGGGCCAAGGTGGCTGGAAAGAAACCTCGAGTCCAGTGGCGAGGAGCTGCCCCAAGCCTCAGGCCCCTCGCAGCCGCGGGTAGGTCTGGGTGGGGGCAGAGGGCATGCACTGAAGGGCGGCCCGGCTTTGGCACCTGCCGGCTGCCACGCCCACATCCTGGGCTCGGCCGTCTGTCCTGACGCACCAGTGGGCACAGCACGAAGCACATACGGAAGGGCGTGCGGCCCCACCGCGGCGGGACGGGCACAAGCGGGGCTGCGGTTCCAGAGGGTCCTCTCCGCGGTGGGCAGCGGGAGTGCGTGCGTCCGAGGGGATGGTCCAGGCTGAGGCCACGAGTCCACCTGGTTGACTGCTGCCCTCCGGGAAGGGCGCCAGGTCCCCAGCCGCATCCCTGCCCCAGACACCGGCTGACACAGTTCACAATCAGGCATTTAATCGGAAATCTTCAGGGTTCTCCAAGCCCAGCTCCCCGCCCCCCACTGCTGCCTGGGGATGCGTGCCGGGGAGGGGCCGTGCATGGGGAGCTGGCGGTCGTCTGGCCGTCCTTGGACCCGGCGACGGGTTCCTGGCACAGAGCCTGGTTTACCGTATCCTGGTGAAGAGGTTGAGGACAGACACGGATTCCTGCGGGGCAGACGGGGGGAGATGCACTGAGCCTGCGGCCCTCCACAGCCCCCATGCTCGCCCTGGCTTCAGGCTGGGCGCTGAGCCCTCCAGTGAGGGAAACTGAGGCGTTGGGTGGCTTCGGTCCTGATGGGAGCACTTGGCTGCAGCCCTGAGCGGGCAGCTGTGGGGAGACCGGCCAGTGTGGCCCAGGGGGCCATGGGAAGATGGGGTGCAGGCACGCAGGGGACGTCTGGCGCTGTGATACCGACCCACTTTACCTTTGTCGAACGGGTTTTGCTGAAGACATTCCAGAACCTCAGGGTTTCGTCTCCAGCCCCGGTCACAATGGCCTCTCCGTCAGGGGACATGGCCTGCGGGAGAGGAGCGTCAGGGGACCCGCACTGTCTGGGGACATGGCCTGCGGGAGAGGAGCGTCAGGGGACCCGCGCTGTCTGGGGACATGGCCTGTGGGAGAGGAGCATCAGGCGACCCGCGCTGTCTGGGGTCTCTGAGGGTGTGGCTGGGGGATGGTCCCCAGAGCCCAGAGCCCCTGCTGGACTTGAGAAAGGACAGGCAGCCGGGCCCAGGTAGGGAGTTTCCTCTGGAAAGGAGGCCTAAGGCACAGACGCGTCTTGGGAGAGGCTGTGCCCTGTGCTCCTCCTCAGCCGAGGGCAAGGAGTCCTTTCAGAACACCCACAGAGGGTACCGGGGTGGTCCAATATAGGTCTCATTTTCAGCGTTCTGCTTCTTACTATTTTTTTTGGTTAAAAAACCCAACTCACTACAAATAAAAACTTAAAAATGTATATATGCACGCACATACACGTAAACGAATTTCAAATACATACACGTGCACGCGTATTTACGGGAAAAAATATATAAAGACAGTATTTATGTTATGTATGCACTGGATAAACCTATATTGGGAAATAAGGAGCCCTGGTGGCGCAGTGGTTGAGCGCTCTGCTGCTAACTGAAAGGTCGTCAGGTCTAACCCACCAGCTCGGAGGGAGACAGATGTGGCAGTCTGCTTCCATAAAGACAAGAGTCCTGGAAACCCTATGGGGCAGCTCCACTTCATCCGACAGGGTCACTGTGAGTTGGAGTCAATGGCGGCGGGTTTTACGGTGGAAAACGGCAGAGATCCTGGGGGTGGGCAGAGCTTCCCGGCCTGAGGGGCTGGGAAGCTCGGTGAAGCTTGTTCAAAACGACACACATAACCTGGTGTTTAAAACAGAACCCCCCGCCCTGCTGCTCAGTCCCAGACAACACAGCTGGACCAGACGGAACTGTCTTTATGAGGGGTTGTGTTCAGGAACAGCTGTGGGCGCAGTGCACGCTGTGTTCTCCAGGACGGTGGGGGGTTGGCGAGGGGCCAGACCGGGAGGGGCCGCACTCACCAGGTAAAGCACGCGGTAGGAGTGCCCAGTCAGCTTGGCCACCTGGGTCAGGGATGGATACTTCCAGACCAGGATCTGGTTCTGCGAGTATCCGTGTGTGCTCACCTGGGTGGGAGAGGGTGCAGGTTGGAACCACAGGGCGGGGGCCGCGGGGGGTTTGGACGGCGGTCCCGGCTCGCCCACCAAATACACCCAGGCGAGTCCACGTGGGAACCTGAGGGGTCCTGGACCCTGAGGCCACCACCTCTGGCGGGCCTGTCCAGGGGCATGGGGATAACGGCCTGAGCATGACAAGGGTGTGGGCAGCCAGCCCTGTGGCCCCTCCCTCTGTCCCCTGGGAGCCTGCAAGCCTCTCCGGCAAGTCACGGGTGGAGGGAGCACCAGGCCCGGGCCGGGTTTCCAGGTTGTGGTCTGCCTCTGCAGGCAGCTGTGTACTCCCTGGGGGTGTGCTGCGTGCACCTTGCCGAACCCTTGCCCGACCCCGACACGGCTGAGACAAGGTTCCAGGGGTCCCTCCCGCCCCAGGCCAGGCCTCCCTACCCCAGGCAAGGCCTTTGTACAGGCCCAGGGTGCCCCATCCTAGGCAAGAACCCCAGCCGTGCTCACCAGCTCGTTGGCGTGCTTGGAGCAGGCCAGGTTGCACACTTTGAGCCCCCCCAGGTGAGCCCCCTGGCTGCGCTCACCAGCTCGTTGGCGTGCTTGGACCAGGCCAGGTTGCAGACTTGTGAGCCGGTATCGATGCACTGCAGCGGCTGCCCCGTCAGCGTGTTCCAGAAGCGGATACAGCGGTCAGCCGTGCCGCCGCCCGAGGCCAGTAGGCCGTGCTGGTGCGGGGACCAGGCAATGGCCTTGACGGCCGCCAGGTGCTCCGTGTACTGCTGCACAGGGCTCAGGCTCGAGTGGTTCCAGACGAGCAGCTGTGGGGGCGGGGGGCGGGTGAGGCCGGGGGAGATGAACCCCTCCACCTGCCCAGCCCCCACGGGGCCCTTTGGGCCCACCTGCCCCGCTCTGCAGAGGGGCTGGCCAAGCAGGAGGGACAAGCGTGAGGGCCTGCGGTTGGTGACCCCGACCCTGTGTGTCCCCATCCCTGACGACGTGTGGCCTCGTGGGAGGTCGTGCCCGGGCCCCAGGTGCGAGCGAGCGAGCAGCAGTACCTTGTTGTCATTGCCCCCCGAGGCAAGCAGCTGGTGGTCCGTGGACCACTTGAGCCCGCAGACCTCCTGCCGGTGGCCTTGCAGCCGCCGCTCCGACTGCAGGGGCGGCGTGCGGATGTCCCTCTGCAGGATCATGCGGTCACGGCTCCCGGATGACAGGTGGTCGGCGTTCCAGGCCAGCGCACCTGGGGGGAGAGGGTCAGGTGAGGCCACGGCCGCGTGCCACAGTCACCACGTGGGGCGCAGCGGGGCCGGGCCTCACCGACGCGTGCCGTGTGGCCCTCCAGCATGGACAGCTTCTTTCCTGCGGCCGCGTCCCAGATCTGCACGAAGCCCTTGTGGGTGCCGACTGCCACCAGGTTCCCCTAGGACAGAGGGGACAGTGAGGCCGCCATTTCCAGGCGCAACAGTCCCAGTTGACTGGGAATGGCGGAACTCTCCACCTACACAGCCCACCGCTGCCCAGGCCCCTCTGGCTGGCCCTGTCACCCATCATTGCACCCCATACACTCGACTGGCTCACAGGGAGGTTGGGCCTAGGACAGGCGGGGCACAGTCGCCACCACTAAGACCGCCCACTGCGGCGGCCCTGACGGAGACCAGGTGAACATAATCATCTTGCAGCTACGCCCTGACTTCTCTATGGGGCCCCTAACACCGTCAGGGCCCTGCCCAGTGAGGTCCTGTTGGCCTCCCACACCGGCCCTCCCTAACAAGTGGAGGGACCTCTACTGACCCGCTCAGACCAGCCCACGGAGGTCACTGAGTCCCCTTCAACGGACAGATCACAGAGCCGTGTCACCTAGGGAAAGGAAACAAGTGTCATTATGACTCTGCATGCTGTCCCACTGGTCCTTCAGGGCCCTAGTCCATCTGTCTGTCCACTCACCATCCATCTATCCACCATCCAACTAACCATCCATCCACCCATCTACCATCCAACCAACCATCCATCCACCATCCAACCAACCATCCATCCATCCACCATCCAACCAACCAACCATCCATCCATCCACCATCCATCTACCATCCATCCACCATCCACTCATCCAACCATTCATCCATCCATCCACCATCCAACCAACCATCCATCCATCCACCATCCAACCAACCAACCAACCATCCATCCACCATCCAACCAACCAACCAACCAACCGTCCATCCACCATCCAACCAACCATCCACCATCCACCCAACCATCTATCCATCCACCATCCAACCAACCAGCCAACCATCCATCCATCCACCATCCACTCATCCAACAATTCATCGATCCACCCACCATCCAACCAACCATCCATCCAGCATCCAACTGATCATCCATCTACCATCCAACCAACAATCATCCATCTACCATCCAACCAACCGATCATCCATCTACCATCCAACCATCTTCCCATCCAACCATTCATCCATCCATCCAACAACCAACTAACCAACCATCCATCCATATATCCATCCATCCACCATCCAGTCAACCATCCATCTATCCATCCATTAGACATCGCAGGCCCACAGGTGGCAGTGCTGGGAACCTGAGACCATTTGGCCAGGGTACTCTGAGGGCTGTAGGCTGAGGTGGGGACATACACAAGTAAGGGACAGTAAGGCCGAGACCACTCAGGGCCCTCAGCCTAGGAAGCTGCCCTGGGGCAGTACCGCCTCCCTCTTCCCTGTTCCTGTCTGCACACCGAGGGCTTCAGGGATGGACGGCCGGCCCCGGGGTTGGTGTGGAGGGCAGGGGAATGGTTGGCTGAGGTTTCTCTCTGGCTCTGGAGCACCCTAACAACACTCGTGCCCATCCCACAGGCCCCACCCCAGTCAGCCACCCCCTACAGAAACATGCCACACCTCATACACACACCCCCTCACAGAAATATACCATGCTACCTACACAAACACACCATCTCCCCAAAAGTGCCCAGTAGGCTGCCCCCATCACCTGGCTGGCGCAGGCCCCACCCTCCCACAGCGCTCACCTGGCTGGCGCAGGCCCCGCCCTCCCACAGTGCTCACCTGGCTGGTGCAGGCGCTCCACAGGTACACGCAGGTCCCCAGCCCCACACTGAGCACGTTGAGGGAAGACCAGTCCACCAGGTTCAGGTAGAAGTCATCCTGGAGCTCGGGGGCGTCCAGGACCTTGAAGGGGATTTTGGAGATTTTGCGAGTGGGTTTCCGTGGTGACCTCAGCAACTTCTGACTGTGGGGAGAGCCAGAGATGGGATGTGGCATCGATGGGCCGTGGTGACCAGTACCTTCCACTGGGTTCTGAGATACTGGCACAGAAGCACCTCCCTGTGCCCTGTGAGCCCCTTGAATCCACCCAGGGTCTCCCTGCTTGCCCTGCCCCTTGGGCGCTGCCCCTACACGGCCCCCAGCGTGACCTGCTCTGAGAACTACCCTGTGCCCATTGAGGCCCTTTGCCCTCTGGGGTTCAGGCTCTGAGCTGCGACAGCTGAGTGTCCTCGGTCCTCCCTGTGCAAGCTGTCCCCTCCACCCGGCACTGCTCTGGAGTCCCTTGACTCTCCCAGACAGACTCTTGGCTTCTCGACTGTACCACAGCCCACAGAGGTCCCCAATGAGCGAGTGAGTCCTCTGCCCCACCCCCAGAATCTCCCACGGAGGACAGTCCCTGCAGAGTTGAGGCTGACAGTGACCCAGCAGGAGGACACGGCCTGGTCTGAAGCCCGCCCTCTCCAGAAGTCTGCCCGGAAGTTTCAGGCCCTCTGCATCACCATCCAGTCGCGTGGCAGCATGGCCCACCACGGCTCCCTGGCCCTCTGTCTGCCCCCAGACCCCCAGTGCCCTGGCCCTCCGCCCGGCCCAGGGCTTAGGACCTCACCTCTTATTGCTGACGGGGGACAAGGAGTACGGGGACACCTCATTGCCATCATCCGGGCTTGAGCGCTTGGTGCTGAGGGAATACTGGGGTGGGGATGGGCCTGCGGTGAGAGGCTGCCAGCCCCACAGAGCGGCTTCGCGCACCAGGCCGCCCCCCGGCCCCTCACCGTGAAGAGGCTCTTCTTTTCGGGGGTGGAGGGCTGCAGCCGGCGGTCCTCTGTCTGTGGGTCCTGCACCTTCTCAATGCCGGCCCCCAGCAGCTCATTCTTCAGCAGGGCCGAGTAGGCCAGGCCGTCTGTGGGCGGGCGGGTGGGGCAGGGGGTCAGGGGCATACCAGGCCTCAGGGCACGGGGGGTCGGGGCCCACGGAAGACCTGGAGCCTCACCTTTGCCATTGTCTGAGGTGGCATCCTTGGCCTTCCGGTTCTGACTGGGTGACTTCTCATTTTCCTGCGGATGAGGGGGAGGGCAGGATGAGGCGCCCCCGTCCCAAGCCTGGTGCTGGCACTTGAGGTGGACGCCTGTGGCCTGGAGCGTTCCAGCCCTTCCCCCTTCTCCATGGCACCCCCTCCCCCGGCACCCCTTCCCCCCGGCACCCTTCTACCCCCGGCCGTCCCTCACATTGATCCTGTGGAAGTTCACGCTCCAGTTGGCCCCGGCCCGCGAGGGGATGAAGCGGTCTCCATGCTTGCTGGGCGAGGACACGGGGGAGTTGGCGGGTGTCAGCGTGCGCCGCATCTCTGCAACCTGCAGTGGCAGAGCGTGTGTGCCGGGCACAGCTGCCCTCCAGCCCCGCGCTGCCCAGCCGGCCTCCACCCTCTGACCCTGTGGGGGCGTGACACTATGACCGGCTGTGGGTCCTGAAGAGCGGGACTGGCGCCTGGCGGGGAGAGGGGAAGTGCAGCCCAACAGACCCGCATGGGTGGGTGAAGCCACAGGTGCCAGCACGCGCACAGAGCCCGGGGAGCCCATGGCAGACAGAACACAGAGCGGGGGGTGCGGCTGGGCCCCAGAATGGGCGCAGAGGCAACGCCCGCCCTCGCTCCTCGGCCCCTCACACTGCCAGCCCCACAGGCTCCGTAGCTCCAGCCCCCTGGCTCTCCAGGCCGCCTCCCCCTTCCCCGGGGTCCCAGCTGCCCACCTAGACCAGTCTGCCCCAGCAGCGCTCCTACGCAATGCCGGCCGGCCCAGGTTGGAACGCCAGCTGGCCACGGCTCTGACCCTCCGCCCGCCCATCTGGGAAGTGGGGAGGTGCGGTCCTGGTGCCCTGAGCTCAACGAGCCCTGACACCGGCCCTAGCAGAGCAGGTGGCGCCAACAGACGGGGGGGTGGGGGCTGTAGGCCGCCCGGCCTCCATGGGAACAGGGGCCACGCCCCGGCCAGTGCCGAGGGGACGCAGCAGGGGGCAGCTGAGTTTCTAGCCCCCGGCGAGGGTCTCTCCAACCGTTTAGCCGGAGCAGCTGCCCCGCCAGGCTCCCATCGGAGCAGGGCAACAACACGGGACAGCAGCGGGCGCCAGTACTCACGCCCGGCATTGTGTTCTCATTCTGGATGACGATCTGCCGCAGCAGGCGCCGCTCGTAGTCCTGGTCCATGGTGAGGCCGGCGGCCTGCGCAGGAAGCCGGGGCGGCGTCAGCAGCACGCGGCCCCGCGGGGTAACGGCCTGGGGCGCCGGCCGGCTCTTAGCTCACAGGCGTCCACGAATCTAGGCCACCTGCGTTGGTGAAGAAAGTCTTACTGGCACCCAGCCATGGCCGTTCATTTGCGTCCTCCCTGTGGCCGCGACAGAGACCGCGTGGCCCTTTGTGGACACCGTTTGCAAAGCCCACTTCACCTAGGAGGGTGGCCCTCGGGCCAGAGGGGCGGAGGGCCGCACGCCGGCGGGATGGACTGGTCCGCACCATCAGGTGAGAAGCCAGCCCGGGTCATGACCACACACTCGAGGCCCACCACACGCCGAGACACGCAGCGGTGCCTGACCCCAGCCACGCTCTGCTCACTCGCCTCGTCTGCACGCAAAAGGCGGACAGTGAGAAAGGAAGACAGAATGGACGCGTTCACACTGCCGCGCCGGCGAAGGGTACCGGATACACCGTGGACTGGCGGGAGAAAGAGCGGAATAGGAGGCGGCGTGAAGACGCGCAGAGCCGGGAGTGAGGCGCCACCAGGTGCCGGCAAGGCAAGGGAGGGTTCGCCCCGGGACCTCCAGAGGAGCCGGCCCTGCCCACGCTGTGACTCGCACACTAAACGCTGGACGTTTAGCTTCTAGGATGGGAAGTCAGTGTTGTTAGCTGCCATTGTCGGCCCCTGACTCATGGTGACCCGGTCCTGTGCCATCCTCATGACTGGTAGATCCGGTTGTTGTGATCCATAGTGTTTCTGGCAGTCGATCGCCAGACCTTTCTTCCTAGTCCATCACAGTCTGGACGCTCCGCTGAAACCTGTTCAGCATCACAGCAACATGTAAGCCTCCGTGGGCAGACGGGTGGTAGCGGTGCATGAGGTACACTGGCCCGGAGTTGAACCTGGGTCTCCAGCGTAGAAGGCGAGAGCTCTCCCACTGAGCCACCACCACCCTCCTAAGAGGACAGATGTGTGAAGTCATCACGTTCCGGTGGTGTTACAGCAGCCAAGGGGCCTGGCAGAGAAGGCCACACACCACGCCGCGGCCTTCCTCCGCGGATCCTCCTTTTGGGGGTGGGTGGCAGCTGCTGAGAGGGGTTCCTGAGGCCTCCCCTCTGCACCAGCTCTGGGGATATCTTAATCTCTAGTGCGGCTCTCACAGAAATACCACAAGTGGATAGTTTCAACAAAGAGAAGTTTATTCTCTCACAGTCTAGTAGGCTACAAATCCAAATTCAAGGCATCAGCTCCAGGAGAAGGCTTTCGCTCTCTGGCGGCTCTGGAGGAAGGTCCTTGTGATGCATCAATCTTCCCCTGGTCTGGGAGCATCTCAGTGCAGGAACCTCAGGTCCAAAGGACGCACTCTGCTCCTGGCACTGTTTTCTTGGTGGTATGAGGTTCCCCTGTCTCTCTGCTTGCTTCCCTCTTTTATGTCTCAAAAGAGATTGCCTTAAGACACCATTTAATCTTGTAGATTTCATCAACTTAACTGCCACTAATCCATATTATCATGTCATAGTGATAGAGTTTACAACAAACAGGGAAATCACATCAGATGACAAAATGATAGACAATCACACAATACTGGGAATTCTGACCTAGCCAAACTGACAGATATTTTTGGGGGACACAATTCAATCCATGACAGGGGGACTCCCTGTGGGACGGCTGACTAGCCCTTCCTTCTCTTCTCTCTCTGCCCTCCACCCTCACCACCCGACTTCTGAGGCCCCAGGTCTGTTGGGGACACGGTGGGTATCCATGCACTTGGCCAGCGTGCACATCCTGAGCCCCTCTAGGCCCGAGCAGGCGGGAGCTCAGGGCCTGGGGCGGGAAGCAGGCAGAAACCAGCAAGCAGGTGAAGACACGGTCTCAGGCTGCGGGAGTGTGGTCAGGAAGCACGTTTTAACAAGAGGCCCCCCAGCCGGCCACATGTGCTAGGCCAAGAGGGACAGGTAGTACCCATGGCTGAGTGGGTCAGAGTGGGCTCCACGGTGCCCTCAGCCGGGCCCGATGGGATTCGGGCACAGATGGAGCTGCCCCAGAACCCAGTTCTGGTCGTCTCCGCCCTGCCGCCTCCTCATCTGTGGATCCAGAGAGTGGGCTCCAGCGGGCACAGCCCAGGAATGGACTCCAGATGGGGAATGGCCCGTGCTGCAGGCCCGGCGGGGAAGCCTCTCTAATGTCTGTGAACCTGCAACCCGTGTTATGGACTGAATTGTGTCCTCCAAAAATATGTGTCAAAAATCCAGACCCCCATACCTGTAGTGAATAAAGAAGACTGAAGAAAAATTGATGCCTGTGAACCACGGTGTTGGTGAAGAATATTGACTATACCAGGGACTGCCAGAAGGATGAAGAAATTTGTCTTGGAAGAAGTACAGCCAGAATACTCCTTAGAAGCAGGGACGGTGACACTTCGTCTCACATACTTTGGACATGTTATCAGGAGGGACCAAGTCCCTGGAGAAGGACATCGTGCTTGATAAAGCAGAGGGTCAATATAAAAGAAGACCCTCAACGAGACGGATTGACAGAGTGGCTGCAGTAATGGGCTCAAAGATAACGACTGTGAGGATGGCGCAGGACGGGGCGGTGTTTCCTTCTGTTGTGTGCAGGTAGGGTCACTGAGTTGGAACCAACAACACACCCGAGGTTATAACCCCACTTGGGAACGGGTTTTCTTTGTTACGTTAACGAGACAAAAGTCAGTGTAGGGTGTATTCTAAGTCAATGTCTTTTGACATATAAAAGAGATTAAACAAGCAAGCTAGGGAGCAGGGATGGGGGAAGAGAGACGCCCAGCCACGTGAAGATCGCCCAGGAGCAGAAGCTCAAATAGACAAGGACCTTCCCCCAGAGCTGACAGAGAGAGAGCCTTCCCCTAGAGCCGGTGCCCTGAATGCAGACTTCTAGTCTCCCAACTGAGAAAACAAACTGTTAAAGCCACCCATGTGTGGTACTTCTGCTACAGCAGCACTAGAGAACTAAGACACCCAGCAACCTCAGGAGCCCCACCTCCCACAGACCTCAGCGGCCACGGGCAGGTTCAGCAGCCACAGGTTCAACCATGACCAAGTTTTCTCGGCAAGAATGTAAAGAGAGACGCTATAAGCAAACAACCAAAACCTCTGAAGGCAAGTGCAATCAGCCACAAACCCCACAGCCAGCCCACACCACCCTGGTGGACAAAACCCCCAGAAACCTGCCCCAGCCCCTCCTCAGGGTGACAGCCGGGGCTCGGCCAGTCTACAGGACCGCCTGTGTCTCCGTCTTAGAGGCCTGAAGGGGTGAGAGGAGAAGTCTGTCCCAGGACTGGGCCCACCCAACTGCCTGGCTGAGCACTCAGGCTCGAACAGCGCCCCTAGCCCTGCCAACTACGTGGATGCCGCCTAGCACTGCCAGGGCAAATGTCTGGTCCAGAGACCCCCACCCACGCCTCGAAACCAAGCTTGTCTCCACTGCAGAAAGACTAAAGTGAAAGGCCTGGAAGCCACACAGAAAGGGCCAGCAAATTCAACAGCGGGAAAACGCAAAGTGTCTTCCTGGCAGAACACACCACAGCACAGTTTAAAAAAAAAAAAAAAAAAAAGACAACAAAACTGGGAAAAATATCTGCTACCCATAAAAAACCCAATTGCCATCAAGTGGACCTCAACTCCTGGCGACCCCACGTTGTGTCAGAGTAGAACTGTGCTCCACAAGGTTTTCAGTGGCTGAGTTTTCAGAAGGAGATAGCCAGCCCTTTCTTCCAAGGTACCTCTGGGTGGACTCACACTTCTAAGCTTTCGGTTAGCAGCTGAGCGTGTTCACTGTTTGCACCACCAGGACTCCTGGCCGCCCAGAGGAGACCGAACGGGCTAAGGATATGAGCACGCAGATCTCCAGAAAAGACACGCACCTCACTTCCACCCGGGGAGCTGCCTGCGGAATAAAAACTAAACCCAAGACGCCAGTTTCTCCCTGTGGATGGGCATGGACCAGTCAGACAGCGACCCCTGGCGGCTGAGGTGCGGGAAGACACTCATGGCTGGCAGGAGCTGGCCTGGCCCGATTTCTAAGAAGGCAATTTGGCAACAGCTTTCAAATTAAAGAACACACACCCTCTTGCATGCAGTATTTCGATTTCTAAGAACCTGCCCGTGGCAGGTCCTGGTGTGTGTGTGTGTGGAAAACCGTGTGTATAAAGATGGTCACTGCAGACAGCTTGTAACAGCAGCAGCTCAACAACCAGCAAGAGGAGACGCTCCCCTAGACATGGGACGCCACAGTGACAGGAAGGGGGTGTCGCAGGACTGGGCGGGGGGCCTGAGACACCGGGCAATGCAAATGGGCTGGTAGAAGGTTCTAGTAACAGATACTGGCTTATGGGAGGGGAGCCAGAGAACAGGGCTGGAGGGAAGGCGGCAGCCCTGTGTGTCCCGGCATACAACATGTTCAAGGAGCCCCTGGGTGGTGTAAACAGTCACATGCTGGACTGGTAGCTGAAAGGTTGCCGGTCTGAAACCACCCAGAGGTACCCTGGAAGAAAGGCCTGGTAACCTGCTTCTAAAAGGCTGCAGCCTTGAAAACCCTCTGGAGCAGCTCTACTCTGCACACACGGGGTCGCCACGAGTTGGGGTTGACTTGACAGCAACAAACAACATCATTTTGTACTTCTTGAATTCGGTGTCATCTGTATCCCGCCAGATCTCACTATCCGTGGTGGCAACGGGTATAAAGTGCCTGCAGACACTGCACCCTCCCTGTTCACCCTCAGCAGGGCACGTTCTCCATGGGTGCATCGTGACTGTTACTTTAGGGAATTCGGAATCTGCGAATACTGAGGACCGACTGTAGGCTGAAGGACTCAATGAGCTGGACAGAGACGTGATCAGGCGAGCCCAGCCACAAGATAACAGAAGGATCTAGGTGGTGGTGACACAGATGGCTGCCCACTGGCAGATTCTTACAGCTCTGCTATGTGCTGGGGTCCCAAGGTGGGGGGGTGGCAAACCCGGTGCCGTCAAGTTGATTCCGACTTACAGTGACCCTACAGGACATAGCAGAAATGCCCCATAGGGTTTCCAAAGAGCAGCTGGTAGATTTGAA